AGGAATGACTGGGTTCTGGATAGGTTCTGAAGAAGTCACAGCATTTCCTTGTAAACCAAATCAGATGTGATGAAGAGGTGTCAGGGAGGACACTAACTGGAGATGGAGGTGCTGTGAGTGAAATCAGGGAGGACTCTGGCGGGAGCACATCTGAGGAGCAGGAGCCCAGTGTCCAGGGTAGGAAAGGGCTGTTAGAAATGTGGGAGGGTGAGGGACAGGGACAGTTGGATGACTGGAGTTTCAGATAAATATCTGGGCTACAGAATGAGTGATATGAACTGATGTCGTATAACTGATATTTAAAGAACTCTAGAGGGCTCCACATGAGTTGCTAAGAAGAGAAGGAACAGGGACAAGCCCTGGGCAGGACACACTCCCAGAGCAGACTGCAGTTATGCACTGTGTCTAGCAGGCACGTAGACCCGGGAGCCCCACACTGTCCTGTGCACCAGGAATCCCTGGGCTTTGCCTCCAGCCTCAGATGGTCTAAGTGAAGCACGAAGTTCCGTATTTACAACCAGGTTGCTGTTGGTGCAGATGCTGTTGGTGCTCAGATCACACTGAGCAGCAAGAAGGTCGACCACATTCTAGACCGGGCCTTAGGCTCCCTGTGAGATCAGCAATCCGTGGACTCAGCGCTCCACATTCTGACACTGGGTGTCTGTGGGGAGGCCTGAGTGACAAGCCCACCAGCAGTCCTGGTGCTCAGCCAGAGATGGAACCCCTGAGGTCAGGGATCAGAGAGCAGGGAGGGTTGGAAAGGTTGAGTATGTGGTTCAAATCTTAGACCTATGACTCAGAAAACACTGGGCACATGTGTACAGAATCTCATGAGGAGAACGAAGAAGGGACTGTGGCATGGTTATCTCTGCTGGGGAGTGCTTTTTTGCTTTCTCTCTCTCTCTCTCTCTGTAGTGAGCGCACATGCCCAATGACAATTATTTTTAAAGCTTATTTATATAATTGGGTGAAATAGGAGGGGATAGAGAAGCACCCTGAGCAGGGTTCTTACACCATCTCCACCTGCAATCTCAGTCTCAGCCAGCCCCTGGCATGGCTCTCTGCATAGGTGCCCAGCATGCTCAGGAAGGGCCCTGATGTGAACCCTGGACCTTTCTTCTGTGGATGTGTTGTTTTCCCACTGAGCCACCACCTGACCCCTCAATCCACATTAAACATTCAGTTTTAACCCCTACGAAAGAAAAGGGAGGATGTATTTCAGCATCAATGAAACATGATATTAGGAGATCAGTAGTGTTTTCTTTTTTGTTTCTTTTCTTTTTTTTTTTTTTTGCATTAGCTTGTGCTCTAGGATTTCTAGTGACATTGACATTTATATCAGTCAGTTCGTATGTTTATTATGCCTCAGAGAATTCTCAACATTAAAACAAGCACTTTATAGGAAACCATGAAGTAAGCAGAAAAATCATGGTGAGACCTAAAAAAGAAACATACAACAGAAGTACCAATGAAATTTTGCCTTTCTAGATGCCCAAAGTATGAGTCCCAGTCTATAGAATGGGAAGTGGAAGGGCAATAGCCTTAGGACACATCTAGAAATGCTTCTTGAGTTAAAAAAAGATATTTAAATAATAGAAGTTAAACTAACAGATGGAATTTAGTCTGAGTGATGGGATTCTTCCTTTGGGGAATGAGTGTAAATAAAATTAAACTGGGATTATGGGTGGAGAAGGCCTTAATAATGATAGAGGTTTAGCAAGAACTAGAAGTCATTGGGGCAGCAGGTGGCATGAAGGTTAAGGCACTAGCTCTCCCTTGGTGAGAGCTAGCTCTCTGTGGTTTGTGTTCCAGACAGACCTGGCAGCTTGAGAAAAACATCAGAAGCGTGTGCTTGCGTGCCCCAAATCCTGACACTACAATGGGGAGAAGGGATCGCAGCACGGCCATCCCCCAAGGGGTCAATATCATTTACTCTATCATTAGTTCTAGATGGAAGATGCAGAAAGGGGCTCTCAGCTCAGCAGAATGAAACATCTGTGGATATTGGTCTCTGAAATGACTCCCAGACTGCGTTCTCATTCACTATTGGAGCAACCAATAGAACACAGGTTATTGATAGTAAGGAATTTATATATATGGAATTAGGACTCATTTTATTTTGAGACAGCACAAACTCAGGCTCAAAGTTATGCAGCCTGGACCTTAATCACAATCTGCCCTAGCTTAGGTGTCATGTAGGAACAAGTGTCCCTGAACAAGGTCACAGGGAACAGTGTCACTGCTCTTACCACTGACACTGATGCTGGACACCACCCTGTGGCTGGAATGCTGTCTCTGCAGCTGCTGAGAACTGGGGGCCAAATTGATACAGCATCTTTGCTAAAATGTGTCTGCACAGTCCCACCATCTCTGTGTCACCACGCACAACTCAGAGGCTGATGTGCAGTCATTGGACTTGGGGAGCCGAAACCTCTTGAAATGTCCACTTGCACTAGTTTTGGGGAAAATGTATTTTCCTATTTTTTTATTAAAAAAAAATAGTAGCTCAAGT